TTTATGTGTGAATATTAGTGGAACTAGTACATATTACTGCAAGTCTACAATAATGATCACCATATGCTTGCACTTTGCAGTCTAGTACTTACTCATTTACTCTGCTTAACATAATTTAGGTTTAAAAGTTATAATTCAACCTAGATTAAGCTCAAACAAATATTAACTTCGTTTTCTTTTTCGTTTAGAAATTGGGAAGACGACATATTTCCACACCAGAACTATGGCATAGTAATAAATGTACACAAAGTTTCGAAGTCGTCCTAATTGCACACCGTTTAAGTTAGACAACCAATTTCCACATAATAAGAAAGTTCGAACCTCGTTTCCACACAGACCATGATTTGACTTGGTTTTATCGGTTTATTACATTAACCGATAGTAAACCAGTTATATTGGTACGCCTCGACCCATAATAAGATCCGACTATGGATCGATTTATACCCGACCCGAAACACCTTTAAAACTCCCAAATCGAGTTGTTGTCTTTAGAACGCTAAAATCTTAAAAATTGAGAGAGTGATTTCGTTTCCCAGACCCAGAAAGTATGAGTCATGAATCTGGAAGTTCGAGTGGAGTCTCTAGCGCTCGAGCAACAGGTCGTGTTGTTGGTGTTCCGAAGAGATGTTGGTGTGGAGAATTAGTTATCCCATTGATGTCGAATTCAAAGGCAAATCCTTATAGGAGATACTTTCGTTGTGCTTTTGCAGCAGAGAAAAGGGTTAGTTTGTTTATATAAATGTGATTTTTCAAAATAAGTGAATGTTCAAAATGTGTGGGTGAATCAATTTTTCTGTGTTTGTAGCTGAGTAATGATAATCATAGTTACAAATGGGTTGATGAGGCATTGTTGGATGAGGTTGAAGCAATGTCATTTAGGATTGGAAGACTTGAACAGACAATTCTTGCTGAGCGTGTGGAAGAAGAGAAAGAAGAGAAGAAGAAGTTTGATGAGTTTGGATTGAAGTTAGAGACCGAGATTTCTGCAAGAATGGAAGATGTTGTGAATGAAGCAAAAGCATCTCAAAAGAAGGCGATGGTGCTGGTTGTTTTAGGATGTTTGGCGATGGTTGTTTTGGCTAAGGTGTTTTAACTTGTCTCAGTTTAAATTGTCTCAGAAGATGGTGGTGTCAAAAGTCTGTTGTTGTTTATGTTGTTGGAAATTAGATGTTTTAAGACTCTCATAAGTATGGTATTTTATAAGATATTTCTCCTTTTCGATGGTGAGAATCAAGATGAGTTCAAATAAAAAACAAAAACAATGACCATTGCCATTAAAATATGATACATTGCCTCTAAAGCATATCTTGAACACATCAAAAAAGAGTTTAGATCCATTAAACTAAACCTGATATCCCAGAAACAAGGTCATGGAACGTGCAAAAGGAATCTAAAGCCGAGAAACAAGGTCATAGAACCTAAAAAAAGCACCTAAAACCGAGATAAAAAGCACCTAAAACACCACAAAAACAAACCACTTCTTCACTCCTTCACATCTATCTTCTCTTCTTTCCATGCGTCACTTCCTTGGCTAAGTAACTTGAGAGCCACTAGCACCTTGGGAGGCTTCAGGCTGAGAAGATTCACCACTCTGCCAAGGCTGAAAAAACAACACAATAAACACCCAAAAAATATCATCAAAACACATCATCAAACACATACACAAAACCGAGATAGCAATGAAACAAACCTGTTTCAGATCATTCTTATGGAACCTGAAGTTATGATTAGCTTTCCCACATATCCGAAAGTGCATGGTTCGCTTCAAGGTCTTATCTTTTTTCTTCGTTGGTGATTCATTGACTCCTCTCTTCCTCTTTTTATCCGCTTTTGTCACCTTCTTACGGCCTGGTTGATCTGGGATCTTAGGTTCTTTGATAGATGGTTCTGGTCCTTCAGGCCAGAACTTTGCTCCACGCAAGGGTACAATCCCTTCAACATACATACGCCTCCATGTAGCTGTCTTGAACCAGTGAACCACATAATCTGTTGCCTCTAGATCTTTTTTCAACATGACTCCATAGGCGTGCTCACAAGGGATCCCTGTAATCTCCCATCTCCTGCAACTACAAGTTCTACTTTCCAAGCTTACCCTATGTGCACAACCATTACTAGTAATAACCTGATACATCTGGTTGGTGGAAGGTCTAACCGTCGATTCTGAGGCAAGCTTATGCAAACTCTCAAGCATCTCAATGGCATATGGTGTGCAAAGCCCTTCGTAACTGGTGCAAATGACATCCCTTTTCGCAATACGAACCATTGCCAAGCGAGCTATTGTCTCCAACATAGGTACAAAGGGCTTGTCTCGGGCTTTACCTATGGAGTTGTTGAATGATTCGGTTAAATTGTTCTCCACGTCTTCACAATAAGGTCCAAGCTTATAGAACGCCATGCACCACTTCTCTGGCTTTGACTTCATCAAGTCGTCATAAACACCTTGATCGTACTGCTCAATGTCTCTAAGGTTTGCTTTGTAATCAGCCTCATTGTAGCTCCAAGCAAGGTTCCAAATCTTCAGCTTCATATCAGGTTGCTTCCCATGGTTCTTCTTCAAGTTACCATAGATGTGCCTAACACACATCCTATGCTCAATCCGCGGCAGTGCTCTCTTAACAGCAGCAATCAATCCTTTCTGACGATCTGAAATCATAACATAACCCTCTCCTTCTTCTAGGCCTAGATCAACCTTGATCTTTTCCACAAACCACAACCAATTTTCTTTGTTCTCTACTCCTACCACAGCCCATGCGATAGGGTAAATTGCGTTGTCTCCATCGCGACCCATAGCCACTAACAGCTGTCCTTTCATCCTAGACTTCAAGAAACATCATCTACTCCAATTAGTGGCCTGCACGATCCTTTCCAGCTTCTCCTCAGAACGTCAAAACAGACGTAAAACCTATTGAAAACGTCTTCCCCCTTATCGTTTTTCACACAGTCGAGCTCAACAGATGAATTTTCATTCGAGCCTCTTATCTCATCACAGTAATCCCTCAGACGTCCAAACTGCTCATCATACTCTCTTTCAATCCATCTGAGCGCTTTGTTCCTAGCATGTTGGCATTGCGGTCTACTAACATTGATCTTCCATTTCTCCATAACAAGCTGCTCAATCTTCATTGGCATGAAGTATTCTGGTTCTTCTCTGATCTNTCTACTAACATTGATCTTCCATTTCTCCATAACAAGCTGCTCAATCTTCATTGGCATGAAGTATTCTGGTTCTTCTCTGATCTTGTCGACAAACAAACGAGCTATTTGCGGCACTTTAAGCATCTCACAAGTACCCGTAGGAACACATGTATGATCCTTCTTCATGATTTTCACCACCCATTTGTTGGGATACTTTGCTTCAACTGAGCAGTAGACACGCCAAGAGCAACCTTTGCCTTCACATACAAATCCAATCTTTGTCGTGTCATATCGATTCTGCTTGATGTTCCTGCCAGTTTTCAGAGCATTGTCGAGAACTGCTTCTTTAAACGCAATTCCATTGATGAACACTTGCCCAACAAACAACTCCCCACTGCCTCTCCTAAACTCACCGCGCCTGTTGATAGTTCTCTGCTTCTCTTTTCTCTGATTCACTTCCTCCACTTCCATCTCTTCATCTGATTCTGTCTCTGGATACAAGTTATGTTTCACTTGAGGTTCATCAACAAAGCTCATGGCTTCCTTTTCGATGTTGTAATCGTTACGCTCTCTTCGATCTTCACCATCAGAGTCAACATCATCAGGAGAATCAGGAGAATCATGGTTGAATTCCGGAACATCACTCCACTCTACATTCACATCAGTGAATGACTCCATTGTTGATTCCTGCAAAAAGACAACGAGAGAGAGACACAAAGATATCAAAACAGAGAGACACAGAGGGACAAAGAAACAACGAGAGAGAGAGAGACAGAGACAAAGAAGAGATGTCGAAATTACCTAGACTAAACACAATCGGTGCACAATCGACAAAGAGAGAGAGAGAGAGAGAGACCGTGTTTGTTCTTCTTCAGGACAGATTGGTGATTTAGGGTTTCTAATCGGGTTCTGGGATGGTTTAGTTGTTTAATCGGGTTTTTTATTCTCTAATCGGGTTATAATTGGATAGTTTTTGGTTTAGTTAGGTAAGGATTGGTTAACCTTAGGTTTAGGGAACTTTAACCAATTTTAAACCGACATTTGTGGATATTAGTTCGATTTATAAAGATTAGGTGGAAACGAGGTTCGAACTTTCTTATTATGTGGAAATTGGTTGTCTAACTTAAACGGTGTGCAATTAGGACGACCTCGAAACTTTGTGTACATTTATTACTATGCCATAGTTCTGGTGTGGAAATACGTCGTCTTCCCTTTAGAAATTAGAGAAACTTAAAAGACATAAACAATGATCGAATATTTTATTATTTAGGTACATATCAAGTGAGATCTGTTTTACTATAACTTTGTTATCAACCAAGGATTAACAGGGTGCACTAATATCACTTTCTTTGTATTACATGGTCTAGAGATAACACAAGAAGAAGAAGAAAAGATAAATAGATTAATTATCTCAACATTGAGAACCCCATTAATTTACAATTTATTTTTAGTTTTTAGTGTGAAATACCTAAAGTTAAGAAGGTTGCAATAAGATTGCTCTAACACCAAAAACACAAGTTTATAAACACGCCACTCAAAATCCATTTCTTTTCTATATAAGTATGTGAATTATCATAAAAACGATGCTGATCACGAATCATCGTATTATTGTTTGTCTCGACAAATAAGATCATATTCAACAGCAATCCACAAAACTAATCCGAAAACATGGGAAATTGGCATACTAAGAGCAATCCGTAATACTTTATTTTGTCATTGCTAATGAAAGTTTTTTTTCATTTTTATTACAAAGACATCATTTCTCATAACCAAAGAGAAATAAATCACAACATGATCATCACAATCATACATAAAATATAAATATCGTCACTCAAAAATGATATTCTCATGAAAATATACACACCTCAGAAAAATAAGAAAGACCCGGCGATGGATGTAATACCAACGACGACCGTAGAGACTCCAAAAGCAGCCGCGCCACTTTCAGCCGAATCGGCAGAACCTGAAGGTCCATTGCTACTGTATGAAGAGTCACTTCCTAGTGGACCAGCCACCGCCACATCATCATCACCAGGAGCAGCAGCTGCATCGTCGTCGGTGGTTCCAATGGTGTCCTCGGATATTGGAGCTTCAACATCAGTTATATAAGTAGATGGGGATTTGGAGGGTGACGCTGAAGGAGACGGAGAGGAGGCAGCTGCGGCGAGGCCAAGGACGGCCATGAACACGAGGCCAAAAACTATGACAACGTTTTGCCGACCCATTCTTCTCTCTCTGTCTCTTCTACGTAGCTCTCTTTTATTTATTTTAAGGTTTGATGTTTACAGATTGTGATGATTGGAAATGTTGGATTTGATGTGTACATATAGATAGTTGTCTTGTGTGACTGAAAAGAAAAATAGAAAAACGTTTGTACTACGATTGAGGAATACCATGCAATACAATGTAGATTGATTGAAATGACTAAAAATGGGATTGCTAAGAAAGACAAAAATTGAATGGTGACAAGCCATTTAAGAAAATGATGGTAACATGCCAATGTTGTTGTGATCTTGTGCTTTATCCCTCGAGTTCTTATTTGGGTCGGGCAACACTTCAATGAATCTCGGGCGTACACAAACGTAGGACAGAGAGTCTCTTAAAAACACATAGCTTGCACTAACAACCACCAAGCTTGCTTACCTCACCCTACTTACCTATCAACTACCATATGTTTTAATAGCTTGTAGACAGATTGGTTGATAAACCGACTTAAAATGAATGTACACAAAATGAATATTATTCTATGAACGATTGTTATAAAAATCTTTAAAACCATCTCTAACTCCACTCCATATTTTACTGTAAAATATAATAGAAAATGGAGTGACAAAAAATTAAAGAAATGAGTAATTATTTTTTGGTTTCTTCATCGTTTCATTTCACACTTATTTTGCAATAATTATGGAGCATAGTTAGAGATACTCTAATACACTAAAGCGAATGCATTTAATTGTTTTCTTGTTAAAGTTGGAGTTAACTGGTTCACAATATGTTGAAAATAAAATAAGTTAAAAAGTATTAATTGGGTCTTAATTAGAAATTATTGACATCCAAATTTATAAAACTCCGATTCGGGAAATAAGAATTGTGTATTTGTGATAGATCTTATGAGAATGAATTAACTCGACAGTCTACATTGATTGCACTAATTAAACATATTTGCATTCTGGAATATGCCTTGTAAAACAAATCTTCTAATCAGAGATATATACCAGTAAGTAACTTTCTAACCCACAATAATGGATGGATAGATGGGCTTTAAATCGTAAGCCCAAACATTTCTTAGCAGGCTTTTTAGGGTTTTACACTCAACCATTTTCACTCTCAAATCCACACTCTCCTCGTTTCTTCTTTTTCTGCAGTGAGAAAAAGAGAACAAGATCTGTAACTTGGATCTGATCGAGAGGAAAGTTTTGAATCTCGAAAAATGGCGCTTGCCTTCGACGAGTTCGGGCGTCCCTTCATAATACTGAGGGAGCAGGATCAGAAGACGCGTCTCAGAGGCATCGATGCTCAGAAAGCCAATATCGCCGCCGGCAAAGCTGTGGCTCGGATCCTCCGTTCCTCTCTCGGACCCAAAGGAATGGATAAGATGCTTCAAGGACCTGACGGAGACGTCACCATCAGTTCGTTTCTCGCCTTACTTTGATTTCATATTTGAATTCTAGTTTTCATGTTTGGGTACTTTGATTAGGGTTTACTATGTGGATGCAGCAGCATTTTGATGAATTGATTCATTTAATAATCTCTGTTCACTTTTGTTTTTGGAAAATGAATTCCTAGTGCTTGTGAGCTAAGCTGCGAAGCTCAAATTAGTCTCTTTTACTGCTTAAATACTAATTTAATACTTCTGTTTGGTATCATTGAATTGAAGATTAGGTCTCTTCTGTGTTGTTTCTCTTGTAACCTTAACATAGCTGCAAATCAAGTTCTTTTTACGTGGATGATTTTCAAAGATTCGTCAAACTCGTAACAGGATATGCAAAATATGGTTTCTTTTAACAACAAAATGCTGTTTTGTGTACACATTTCTCGTTCTTTACTCATTTCATTTTAGCAGTATTTGAAGATACATGAATTGGTAACAGTAGTTCCATCCAACGGACTCAAAAGTCGTATCTTTTGTGTGAAGCATGGTACTTTTTTCTTTTTGTTGCTATCATGTTTGTAACTTCGCCGTTTTTGTTTATGTAGCAAACGATGGTGCGACTATCTTAGAGCAAATGGATGTTGACAACCAGATTGCGAAACTTATGGTTGAGCTGTCTCGGAGTCAGGATTATGAAATCGGTGACGGCACAACAGGTGTTGTTGTCATGGCTGGTGCACTTCTGGAGCAAGCAGAGCGTCAGTTGGATAGGGGGATTCATCCTATCCGTATCGCTGAGGGATATGAGATGGCGTCGAGAGTAGCAGTTGAGCATTTGGAGCGTATATCTCAGAAGTTTGAGTTCGACGTTAATAACTACGAGCCATTGGTTCAAACATGCATGACTACTTTGTCCTCGAAGATGTAAGATTTACCCTCCAATACTTGTTTTTGTATAGTTCTGTAGAATATTGTCCTAACTTTTTGGTTTTTGTGGCTCATTGGTACAGTGTGAATCGATGCAAGCGCAGTTTAGCTGAGATTGCTGTGAAAGCAGTTCTTGCTGTTGCTGATCTCGAGAGAAAGGATGTTAACTTAGATCTGATAAAAATAGAGGGCAAAGTTGGAGGAAACTTGGAGGACACTGAGCTTATATATGGAATATTGGTTGACAAAGACATGAGTCATCCACAGATGCCAAAGCAAATCGAAGATGCCCACATTGCCATTTTGACTTGCCCATTTGAGCCACCGAAGCCCAAGACTAAGCATAAGGTGGACATTGACACAGTGGAGAAGTTTGAGACATTGCGCAAACAAGAGCAGCAATACTTCGATGAGATGGTTCAAAAGTGCAAAGTAGGTTTATAAATCTTGTTGTCGTTTTGATTTGGGAACTGATTACTGAGTGAGCTATTCGAGAAGGCGTTTCTTTTTACAGTGAAGATTAGTTATCACAATGCATTTTATGATATAATTACTGGATGTTCATTATGTTTTTGAAATTGCAGGATGTTGGTGCTACACTGGTTATTTGCCAATGGGGTTTCGATGATGAGGCAAACCATCTATTGATGCACAGGAATTTGCCTGCTGTCAGATGGGTTGGGGGTGTTGAATTAGAACTTATCGCAATAGCCACAGGTATGACATCTCTCCAACTTCTACCGCTAATGATTTGATCAGTTTTTTCTAGAGTTGATAGGGTATTTGTGTGTTTATGTAGGCGGCAGAATTGTTCCGAGATTCCAGGAGTTGACCTCAGAGAAGTTAGGGAAGGTACTATTAACTCTCACTTGGAGTTGCCCGTAAAATGAGTGGAATGTTAAATATTTTTAAATCTGACCACTCACATTTATTCATGTTCTTAGGCTGGTATGGTGCGTGAAAAATCATTTGGTACAACGAAAGAACGAATGCTGTATATTGAGCACTGTGCGAACTCAAAAGCTGTCACTATTTTCATCCGTGGAGGTACTCATAACCTCTTCGTTTTAATTTTGTTAAGAGCACTGACTTTTAAGTAGCTGATGAGCTATAAATATTGATGTACTGAGTTTAATAGGCTTCAGTGTATATGGTGGACAAAGCTATCGTACTGATTGATTAACATATTGTTATGGGATATGGTTTAGGCAACAAAATGATGATAGAAGAAACGAAGCGTAGTATCCACGATGCTTTGTGTGTGGCAAGGAATCTCATCCGCAATAAGTCAATTGTATATGGAGGTGGTGCAGCTGAAATCGCATGCTCACTTGCGGTTGATGCAGCTGCAGATAAATACCCTGGCGTCGAGCAGGTAAAAGATCATCTTTACTCTTCTTTTTCAGTCCCACCTGAAATCATCTATTTCAAATATCTCAACACCGAAGACTTAATAATATATGTAAACTGCTTCCGTCTATGCAGTATGCAATAAGGGCATTTGCAGAAGCCTTGGACTCTGTCCCTATGGCTCTTGCAGAGAACAGTGGGTTACAGCCCATTGAGACACTCTCTGCGGTTAAATCTCAGCAACTTAAGGTAAATGATCTGGTTATCTGTTTCGCCATTGATTTGTTTGTTCGGTGACTGATCAAAACATTGGCATTTGTGGGTGTATGATGAAACAGGAGAATATTCCTTTCTACGGGATAGATTGCAATGACGTGGGAACAAATGATATGAGGGAGCAAAACGTGTTTGAAACATTGATCGGGAAGCAGCAGCAGATTTTGCTTGCAACTCAAGTCGTTAAGATGATTCTAAAGATCGACGATGTCATCTCTAATTCTGAATACTGATATGATGTTCTGCTGAACCATTTGTGCTACCTTTAGCCTCTTGTTTTTTGTTTTGCTTTCTATTAGCTTTTGATACTATTCAACGACTCTGTTCCCCTCTTGCAAGCTTTTATTTTACGAGAACATCCTCATTTTGTGTTCTTGATTCTAACTTTATCCCACTGTTTTTTTTCGAATATCTAGTTCGCAGAAAACATCATCCATTAAGATAAGTGTGTTGTTGCCTTTGATACATCGCCAAAATCACAAGTGAAACATACGTAAGTACACGTATGCCATCTCTATTCAAATTTTAGTCACAGATACAGCAAAGTCTCATAGTTTAAACTTAAAGAGTTAAGCCATTTTCGTATTGGAGCAAAACCTTCAGTTTATACATTAAAAATATGTAATGTAACATGAACTAAGCTTCCACGACTTACAAAAACCCATTTGGTCATTTCTTTCTGCACAAATACTAAACCTTAAAGACCATTGTTCAAACCTCAATTCCTCTATCCGCCTTTAGGTGTGTTTACCTATTCTATGTTTCATGAGAATGGTGCTGCTCTGTATCATGGCCAACGCCGAGTTTCCCATTAGTAGCCTCGTCCTTTTGAAGAGATGGCTTCCCATTCACAGCGACAGAGCCACCAGCTGTTTCTTCCACACCTGTATCCGATTTTCCCTCATGTTCCTGTACGCTGTCTGTATTTTGATTTGACAGAGCTGCTTCAGCTTTCTGCATCTCCTCTTCTTTTTCTCGACGTCTTTTTGCTTCTTGCTCTTTGAGCAGTCTAAACCTGGGAATTACATCCACGTGTTAAAAACAACAAATAACTTCTCAGTAAACGAATGAGAGGCTTCAGAAAAGTTAGTAACCTTTCACCAGGTTTAGGCCCTTCTGAGTTCACTTTTTCAGTAACCTTGTCTTTTGGTATCTTCAGTTCTGAAACAGACTTCTGAACAAGAGGTTGTGAGATAGACTTGTCAACTTTTTGAGTTTTGTCTTCCTTAGTGACTAAATTAGTGAGCTTCTCCATTGGATTTTTGGCACCACCATATTTTTGAAGCCATACTTGCTGTGCTGTGCTCAAAATGTTGTTGGTCAACCTGCAAACGCACTCTTCAAAAGTGAGAAGAAAAACATTCACTCCCCCCACGAGAATAAAAAAACCGTTGCTGCTGCTCACCAGTAAAGACTTAAACCAGAAGGAACTGATAGTGCAAAGTAGCCAATCATCAGCGGGAGAAATTTCGTCACCGCTTGTGAGCTCTTCATCGCTGGATCATCACTCTGAGAAACGACATGATGATAAAAAATGGTAAACCAATTCAATGCTGTAAGGATTCTTTGTTGGTTGAAATCTAGTTAACTGAGTGAGCTTCGAGGACGTACAAGCTTATTGTTCAAGCTAAAAAGGTAATTACTAACTAGACTATTACAAATGCGAGAAGATGCTATACTTGTGGCTGAGAGGATTGCATAATCTGAATGGAGAGATACTGAGAGAAGATGAGCAATAGAGGTAAGACAAGATATGCTAATGTGTCTGACCATCCGAGTGGTGGGTGTCCGTCCTGAGATAGAAAATTTGTAGACATCAGCAATAAGGTCCAAGTCCAACACCCTATCCACTCAACTCCTCTTCAATCATTGTTAATTTATCCACACCACTTAGTATCGAGGTTCAAGATTGGTCTTACAACGAAAGGGAAGAGCCATGAGATTCCACTCCCACTTTGTCTTGCAGCAACAGTTGTTGGACCGGCAAGAGAAGGAATCCAGAAAAAGCCTTCCGTTAAGAGCCCCTTAAAGTTAGAAACAGGCATCCAACAAACAACTTCTCAGAAAAGGACCTTGAAGGCGCTTATAGATAGAAAAAGGATAATTCTTTTTTTTTTTGCAGGTACCTCATCTGCAACATTTGAGAGGGCTCTATATAAGCCAATCCAGACTGGTATGGTAGCTAGTGTGGGGAGACAGCCTAACAGATAAAATGAAAGGTATAGCTTAACCACAAGCATTTCTTGACCAAACAATTGGAGAAAAAAAAACAAATAAAAAAAATCTGAAACAACAAATTGTACCTGCAAAGGGATTGATTTCAGCAAGTTTATACAATCTGGCAGTTTCAAGTTGAATTTTCTCCTGCAAAGACAAACCATAAAGAGTAGGAAGCTTATTTTTCTAAACATTTTAACAAAATGGAACACATTCATAGATAGTAAGGCTGTATAATGTTTAATATATTCATTAGAATCACTCCATAATGATGGAAACCAACAGCTTCACACCTTTTTACTATAATGATTGATACAAACTATGACTTAGTAAGGCAAATGTTGCGGTATAGAAGAATGGTTTCACCTGATCACCAGCATACCGTTCCTGAACGGCTTTAATTTGAGGCTGCAAAGACTTCATAGCCATGCCAGATTCGACCTGTAGAGAAACAAACCACCATCTCAACTTTTACAAAAACCGAGGATAACTGAATCTTAGCTTTACTTATAGAAACTAAACAGAAAAAAGAACCTGCTTTTTGGTCAGTGGGAAGGTAGCAGCCTTAACAAGCACAGTGAGTAGAATGATAGCGAAACCATAAGAATAAGGAACGTTTACAGTTGATAACCCATCTTTCAAAACCTGCAATTCAAATTCAATTTACACACACCAATAGACTAATCAAATTCACTCTCCCTTCTAAAAAAAGAGAGAAAGTTTTTGTGACCTTGAGAATAGTTTCCATGTAATTAGCGATACCAGTGAACCAGTCAGTGGTCTGGTTAGTGGTGGTGGTAGGAGAGCCGGAAACAGAATCAAAAGTGTCGGAGGAGGAGACAGCGGCATCAGCGATCGTGTAGAGAAGATTCTCAGCATGTTCCTTGATTAATTCGAGAGACACGGGACCTTGACTGAGCCCGAATTGAGCTACCAGAGTCCGACGATAGGACGAAGAAGAAGAAGAAGAAGGTCGGTGGGTGAAACGGGGGCGGCGGAGATGGAGATGGAGGACTCTGCCTGTGGTGAAAGACGAGAGGAGAAGGTTCGTCGGCTTTAAGGATAGCGAAGAAGCCATCTTCAGCCACAAGAAAGGTACGGATTTTTAGGGTTTTGGATTCGGAAAGGATTTGGATTTTTCTCAGAATTGTTTCTTGCTTCACGTCTCTGTGCGCGAGAGACCCACCGACCCTGAAGTGAAGCAAAAACGAACGATATTCTCATACGCCCTAGTATCTCCCATGTTTACACCCCAGTCATAAAAATAATTTCTTTTTGATTTAAATTTAAACTAGATCTCAACCCGCGCAACCGCGCGGATATTTGTTTTCATTTACTTTTATATAAATATTTTGGTTACACTTCGAAATTGGTATATATTATATGAGGTGTGTATATCTAATTTTTTTAAATAACAATTTTACGATATATTAATTTTCACATGTATTTGTATTTTCTATTATATATATATATATATATATATATATATATATTTGGATCATTATTTCATTATTGAACTTTTAAATATATGTAAAGATTGGTAAAATATTGTTTTATTGCCATCTCTAAAGCTGTTGTAACATTTCTCAAATTTATAAAGTTTAACAAAAATTTTAACTGTTAGCTTCATATTATGGAGTATATAATTAAACAATTAGTTTTTGTTATTTTTTAGTAAACAATATAATTTAAATTTTTTTTTTATTGGTTTAAGGTTATAGATTAATTATTGTTAGAAAATGATGATGATGATTTTGTTATTTTTAAAAATAAACTATATAATTTTAAAAGTTAACATCAAAAAATATATAAATAATTAACTTATACTATTACAACATTAAATTATATAAATTTAATTTAAACATGTATTTTATTATACTATCTATAAATTCAATGGATCACCTAATTATTATTAAACTATCTATAAACAATATAATTTTAAAAAAAAAATTATTGGTTTAAGGTTATAGATTAATTATTGTTAGAAAATGATGATGATGATTTGTTATTTTTAAAAATAAACTAGATAATTTTTAAAAATTAACATCAAAAATATATAAATAATTAACTTATACTATTAAAACATTAAATTATATAAATTTAATTTAAACATGTATTTTATTATATTATCTATAAATTCAATGGATCACCTAATTATTATTAATCCAATAAAATTTTTCAGTAAGCCCAATAAATATTATTAAGGAATCCAATAAATGTTATAATGATTGAATAATGTAATGTTATAAATTCTAGTAGATGGTTCATTTTAAAATATCACACATGAAATGAAGTAATGACTTCTATTTTAATATATAAGATACAATACATGGTTAATTTAAAAAATAGCCTTACAAAAATTATCTTATTACTAACCCAACCTAATCTATCCGACCAGAATCCATACCCAATCGGATCTTTAGTGGGTCTCTCCAACCTAATCATCGATTCCCTTCTACAACTTTAGCGATGACGGCAACTGCAAAAAAATCCAGCCACAAAATCAACCACGTCCCCTGTCGTCCGTCATCTTCCTCGTCTGTCTCAGACGAAATCGAGGAAACCATTGTCATGTCGTCTGTCTCCAATAAACAAGTCGGTGGTCCTCCGACTTCTCCCTACTTTCAGATTCCGACAACTCAGAATTTAAACCCGAGAGCTAATCACTCATGGTCAATGTCAGAGCCTTCCTGTTTCCTCTCTTTCGATTCTTTGCCTCAGTTACATATGGTATTCTCTGAATTTACGGCATCGGATCCCATTATGCCATTTATTTTTCTGCCAAAAATTTGGACAATTCTGTCGTACACTAGATGCTATCTCCAGAATCTTGCAACTATATCAAGCGCATGAAGTTCTTACCATGAATCAGAGGCTGCTAAGGCTTTATGTTCCAAACTATTATGACATAAAGCCTTGATCCAAGGTCATCTCTGTTCTACTCTCTTGATTATGTATTTACCATTATCACTGCTGTGTATCTAAGTGTCTTTGTTCTCTTAAGCTATATTGATTGTCAAAGTGTTTAGTTCTGATGTCAACCGACACAATGAATTGTGTTTCTTTCACGTGATGTTCTTTCTAAGTAAGTAGAGTCTCATATTTAATGATAAGTTTGCTATGTTTTAGATGTATTGAGTTTCCTGGAGGCAGCACCTACTCTGTCTTAGCAATTAATGATTGTGTGTCTTGGATAAGTTCCTTTCACGTGATGATCTTTCTTTCAGACAGAAGTTGTATATTAACCTTTCAAATTTGCGCATATGGTGATTCAGACAGAAAGAATATGCTATTCATTTCCAAATAATCGAGTCATGATGCATCGAACTGGATATTGGGTATGGCTCTTAAACTCTCCTTGTCAATAGTGTGAATTGGCATAAGGGTGTGGTGAAATCTTATTTATACGATGTTATGGCAGTTAGAATCAGAGAGTCTTTTTACCATGGATGTGCCCTGTTTAAGTATCATTACCGTGATGAATCCATTTTAGACTTTATCTATTTTTTTGGTAAATAAGATGTGTATTTTTATGAGCAACGTGTCTGACGTTAATGGTGTGGCATTTGTTTTGGTTAGGTAAAAGGGAATGGTGATTGGAGCCAAAAACCAGATGGATGTTTTGTCACAAGTGGTGTGAAAGATGAGGAAGTAAGCAACATAAAAGATGACATTATTCAGCGAAGCTATTTAAGTTCTAGATATGCATGAATTATTAATGTGATTTTGAGTAACCATGTTCTATGATTATTACGAAGAAGGGTTGTAGCTTTTTTGGTCTACGGGTTGTAGCTTCTTTTGTATTTTGAATGTGTAGAATTTTAATATTTGAATTTTATGAGGTTTTTACAAGATTTAAAGAGGTTGTACTATTTAATTTATTAGTTATATTAAGATAGATAAAAAACTATTAAAACATGACTATATGTATAAAATATATAACTGTATATCAATAATTAATAATATATTAAGTATTAATTAAAACAGATAAGATATAATAAAAGTTAACAAAAAAGTCATGTCTAAAACCTGTTAAAAAAATTTCAACCAAAAACAAAACATGTCTAAAACGTGTTAAAAAGGAGAAAACATATGTTTAAATATTTACACTTAGTAGTACTCAAGCTAGTAGTAATATTTCTTTCTTCATAGTAATACTTTGCAAATTACAACATTTTTTAGTAATACTATATCAAAAAAATCAAATTAATTAGTAATACTAATGTATTTAGACAGTTTTATATTGTATATAACACATCGGAAAGAAAAAAAATTTCAGAAATAATGTATTTTCTGTTATTCATTTCATTATGGCCTTACCATCAAGATGTTAGTATAGAAGAATAATGATGTTTTCTATAGAAATGAAAAAAGTTCTATCAACTGAGAAATTAAGAATTTTTTATGTCTAATTTAATAAATAAACACATATATGGATATGTAATCACGTAATATATGACATACATCTTCAAAAAATAATTAATAAGATGAAAATAAGGTTCTTATAAATATGTCTAATACATAGTAATTTTAAGGTATACTAAGATAGTTGAAGGTAGTTCCTACTAGTTCATATTAGACATATTAGTTCTAAGTAGTAGTTCTGCACTAAATAAAAAAACTAGTAAATAAAGATCATATCCTGCATTCAAGAACTTAGCATCAGCTACTGCATGAACACATGGTATATAGTACTTTTGTAGAAATTTTTTTTTTGAATATGTAATTTGTGTGATTCACCTTAATTATTATGACATCACCACCATCAAGACTTTTCTAACAACTTAAGAAACATTAAATATTTCATGACTAATTTGATACCTAAACACATAATTGGACACATAATTCAAAATAATTGCTGAACATATATAATAAGCCAAAGATATAAAATTCTTAGAAATATGTACAGTAGTCCAAGGTAATTCAAGGTAATAGAAAGTAGTTCTAGTAATGCTAGTAGTACACGTGCGCATTTATATAAATAAAAATATAATATCAAATCTTCAAATTTATATAAAAATAATGTATATCCTTCCGTAATGTAATTTTGATACTTTCCATAAAGGTAAAAAATGATCTGAATGGATTCATGTTCTTAATAAATACATCTATTAATCAAAAGATTTTAAAACATATAAATTATTTATAAATCAAAGCATTTTATAAATAATATTAAATTTTAACCAGAAATATGTATTTTTGAAAAATTATTTGTTGATTAAAATGATATTGAGATACATGTTTTCTTAAATTTATATTTTAAAAACATTTTTATAAAACCTAAAAATGTTTTAATAATTGTATTTTTGAAATATTATTGAAATAATTTCTATAAATATTTTAAATTAGTTCTTGATTTAAATATGAAATATCTTATTTCAAATTTGAAAACTTTTATATAATATAGATAAAATTATATGATTAAAAATAATTTATATAAATAATTTATTAAATTTTATTATTTATAAAGAAATAACCAGTGAAAAATACATATTTTATTAAAGTGTATTTTTGAAATATTATTGAAATGATTTATATAAATATTTTTGAAATTAATTTTTGATTAAAACTAGAAACTATTTTCTTTTAATTTTAATAAATTTTATATAAAAGAGATAAATTTTTAATTTAGGAAAAGTAATTTATAGATATTTTGTAAAAAATATTGAAATTAATTGTTGGTTAAAATATTATTGAAATAATTTCTTATTTTATTTGATTGTTTATAAAAACATATTTTAAGATATACAGAAAATTTTTATTTTGTTTTCATAATTTTTCGTTATTAGTAAAAAATTAGTAATTTTTTTTTAAAATTAAAAATCTGGCCTAACTAAATTTGGTAAAAAAAATTCTAGTCCAAAAAAATTTTGGGACCCACTCGAAAAATAAAAGAAAATATAATATAATTATGAATCCCATAATTTTAGAAAATAAAGATAAAAGTAGAAAAGAAAATGAAAGGGTAAAAAGTTAAAGGGGAAAAGGGTGGGGTAGTGAGAAAAATGAAGTGGTAGTGATAATATATTTTTTGTAACAAGGGTGATATAGAATACTTTCCCTTTCTAACTCAAGTCTTTACATAAGTAGCTAGGGCTGTAACTGGTATAAACAAATACTTCTATTTATGAGAAAACTACTATAGTATAGAAAAGTTGGTATATAACTAGAATGATATCCATTTTTTTGAAATTATTATAATATTTTCAGATTCTCAAGAAATTACAATAAAGACTCTTGTTTAATTTTTTTTTTGAGATTAATTTTAATTATCAAATCCACATCACTAATTAGGCAATCCACGTCATTAATTTTTGTGACACAGAAAAATCAACCGTCTCCATATTTCCAGTGAGTAGAAAAAAATATCATAATATCACAACTTTCTTTCTTCGTCGTTAAACCCTAACTGTTACTCAAATCGTCTCGTCTCGAACTGTCTATGATATCGTCTTCGTCGAAAACATCTTCTCCGTAAAAGTTTCTACGCAATCATTTTCGTCACAATCGTATCATCTTCTACGGTATGTTGTGGCTTAGTCAAACTTATATTGAGACTGCGTTTGATTTACGAGGTGGATGAGTTATAGATTATCTTGTAATTGAGTTATTTTATAGTATGGCTGAGTTTGATGTACGTTGTGATCTATTGCGGCTGAGTTATAGATTATGGTGTGGATGAGTTATTGAGTATGTTGTGGCTGAGTTATACATACTCTGTCTGTTTTTTGTTTCTATTACGGCTGAGTTATGTATTACGTTGTGGCTGAGTTTGTTGTATTATGGCTGAGTTATACTATGTTGTGGCTGAGTTTTGTTTCTATCACGGCTAAGTTATGTATTATGTTGTGGCTGAGTTTGTTGTATTATAGCTGAGTTATACTATGTTGTGACTGAGTTTTGTTTTTATTACGGCTGAGTTATGTATTATGTTGTGACTAAGTTAATTTTTCTATTGCGGTTGATTTATATATATATATATATATGTGTTAAAGGATCAGATGGATGTTTCTGAAGATCAAGCACGAGATTATCCTCTAAGATTTTATGCTGAAGGGGCTTCTTAAACCTAATATTCTTGTCAATCTCCGAAAACCTAATAAGAAGCAGTGTGTGTTTCGAAGGAGGAAAGACAAATGCATTCCACAAAATGACCAAGTTGGCGATTGTGGAGTGTATTCATTGAAATTTGTGGAATGTTTGGTGCTTGGCGTGACTTTTGATGGGACAAAATGATAAGAATATTCAAGGTATATGAGTGAAGATGGCAGCAGATATCCTCGATGAAGGAAGAAATGAGATGTATCAGCCGTATCGTTTCTATAAGCCAGCCGTATCTCTTTATATAACTCAGCCATACCACAAATATACCTTAATATCAAAAAAGTTTAATAAAACCCAGCCGTATCGTTTCTATAAGCCAGCCGTAACGCTTCATATAACTCAGCCATACCACAAACAGATCCTAAAATCATAAATAAATAATATAACCCAGCCGTATCGGTTCTATAAGCCAGCCGTAACGCTTCATATAACTCAGTCAAACCACAAACATACCCTAATATTGAAAAATGTACTTTAATATGTTATTAGAAATTAATATTATCAATTTTAGATGAATATATAATCAACAGAGTGTGTATATTTCATTGAATTTACAAATTTTGGATTGATCATGATCTTGAGGTATATGTTGTCTTACAAATACTTAAAACCTTATGTGTCTATATAGGTGTTGAACGCACCAAATACAAAATATACCATATAATTTTTTTTTCAACCGAATTTGTGTAATTTCTTATATTTTATAGTGGTAACTAAACCATAAAACCTAAATCCTAAACACTAAACCCCAAAAAATTTACCCTGAACCCTAAAACATAAACTTATCCTAAACATACCTCAGCCATAACATGTCAATAACTCAGCCGCAAAGTGTAACTTAATCGCGACGTTTTGTATTTTTTGGTGGGAACTAGATACTTGCGAAACACTGGGGTGGGCTGGAATATTACGCAACCATGACCATTGATTGATTTTAATCTAAGGGTTCAAAATTATCATTTTCTCTATCCTCACCCTTCTTATCATTGGTTAATCTTTGTTTTTCAAGGATCACAATTTATTGCTATTGATTAAATGAAATCTAAAGGTCAAAACATTCTCTCATTTTCTCATAGTTGACGGGACTTAACCGTTTCATCACTCTCTTTGACTATTTTTTTCTTCTGAAAGACAACGAATCTGATGAGAGAGGGAGCATCATGATGTCGGATCACCATACAAGAAGGAACATCAGGATGTCAGATCACCATACAGATACTGGAGGAATGAAAGCTTCTTCTTTAACCAACCACCATCGAAGATGGCAACGACTACAATAGATCTGTCTCCAATTTTTGTTTTTTTTTTCTAGATCTATGTTGTTTATGCGACTGAGATGTCTCTTGATTCCTAATCTATTGACTCGTATTTTAGTTTTTCTTTTGGTTTCTAACTTCAATTTAAGTTTGGATGATGAATCTTGAACTTGTCAGAAGCTTTTTTGGTCGACTTGGTTATAACAAAGTCATATTGTGACCATAACTCGCCTTTGATTATAACAAAACTAAGCCAAAATTTGATTATAACTCAGCTGTAACGTAGGCATAACTCAGCCGAAGTATGCATAACTTAGCCCTAACGTATGCATAACTCAGATGTAATTGAATGTGTTATAACTCATCCGTAACGTATGCATAACTCAGCCATAAAGTATGCATAACTCATGCATAACATATGTATAACTTAGCCGTAACGTTCCTATAAGTCAGCCGTCAAGTGTAATTTGTTTCGCTACGTTTCGTATTT